GAACTGAAAAAAGAGGCTGGGTCAGATCACACAGTGCCTTTTTTCTTTTTCCTTATTTTTTTTTGAGCTGGAGTCTTGCTCTGTTGCCCAGACTGGAGTACAGTGGCATGATCTCAGCTCACTGCAACGCCGGCCTCCCAGGTTCAAGTGATTCCCCTACTTCGGCCTCTCAAGTAATGGGGATTACGGTGCATACCACCACGCCCAGCTAATTTTTGTGTTTTTAGTAGAGATGAGGTTTTGCTATGTTGGCCAGGCTGCTCTCTAACTCCTGATCTCAAGTGATCTACAGGCCTTGGCCTCCCAAACTGCTGGGATTAGAGGCATCAGCCACCACACCCAGCCTAATGACACAGTGCCTTATAGGAGAAAACAAAAAAAAAAATGTGTGCCTGCTGTGGACAGGAGGGAGCCATGCAACAACTCAAAGCAGGGAAATGATGTAGAAGATGTATTGGGTCTGGATTCCATGAAATCATTTTCTCACGGTGCCCCAGGATGGCCAGCCCTAGCTGGGAAGGAACACTGAGTTCTCTTACTGGGACATTGACAGAGAGTTGTTTAAGAGGCAGGCAAACATAAAAGGAACTGGGTACCTCTCAACCCCAGAAAGTGATATTCAGGGAGCCAAGGGCAAATCTCTGCTTTCAGAATGGCTGCTGCAGCCAGCAGGCTGGAACCACAGGGTGGAAATTTCAGGCAGGCAGATTTTTGTCTCCCACCAGAAAACTTTTCCAAGGACACAACTGCCATGGAAGGATGACCACAGTCAGCTCCAGTTGCCTCTCTCCAACCCCTCTTTTGGACTTCGTGGGCTACTTACAATTCAATATTTGGAAGTTTCCTTGTGAAAGAAAGGACTGTGCACATCCAAGGGGACATTTTGGTTGCATCATGCTGAGTGCTGAGGAAGCAGCCCGCTCTCTGGAGCCTCCTAGGCCAGCATGGGATAGTGGAGCAGGCACAGGTTGGGCTCCTGGGAGCACAGAAAGGACAGTTGGTTTTCAGCCTAAGGCCTGAAAGAAGGCTTGGAGAGAAATCAATCATTCCTTAGCTGAGGCTTAAAATTGGAGGATGTGGCCGGGCGCGGTGGTTCATGCCTGTAATCCCAGCACTTTGGGAGGCCGAGGTGGGTGGATCACGTGAGGTCACGAGTTTGCGACCAGCCTGGCCAACATGGCAAAACCCCGTTTCTACTAAAAATACAAAAATTAGCCAGGCATGGTGGTGGGCGCCTGTAATCCCAGCTACTCGGGAGGCTGAGGCGGGAGAATCGCTTGAACCCGAGCCCGGGAGGTGGAGGTTGCAGGGAGCCAAGATCGCGCCACTGCACTCCAGCCTGGGCGACAGAGCGAGACTCCGTCTCAAAATACAAAAAAATTGGAGGATGTCGCCACGAAAAGCAGGGAAAGCCTTCCCAGACAGAGGGAAGAGCGCCTGGGAATACAGCGCCTCAAAGGGCACCTGATGCCCTATCCCCGTCGTGCCCCTAGGCCCAGCCCGACCCGCCGCACCCACGGGCCCCGACCGTGGACACTGCAACCACGAGGGGGCACTGCGACCTCCTCCCGGGTGAAATGAAACCCGAGGGCAGGCCCCCCCTCCACCAAGCAAGTAAAGCAAGCCGTTTGAGGGGGTGGCCTGGAAATGAGAGAGAAAAAGTCCTAGAGCAGCAGTGGGATAGACTGAGGCAAACTGAGCTCAGAGCTCCAGTCCCCCCTGGGGAGAGTCACGGTCCACATTTTGGGAGTTAAGAAGATAAAGGGAGTGGGAACCAGAGCCTAGCAACGGGGACAGGCCATCAGATGCCTTTTGAGGCGCTGCATTCCTCTGGCAAGAATCTCTCCGGGCCTCTGTTTCCCCCATCTTAGATGGGCTCTGGGGCAGTCGGGCGCAAAAGGACACGATAGTGTGGCGGGTCCCGGAAAGGGACTCCCCGGGCGGGGTGTTGGAGGGAGGTGGTGACGTAGCCGGACAGGACCTAAAGGAGTTGGGCAAGAGGAGCGGAGGTAGCAGGAGCGTTGGACGGCGGTGTACGCATGCGCATCCTCAGACGCAGGCGTTCTGCGCGCGCGTGCCCGAGAAGCTGACGGTCGCGCATGCGCCCTTGGTTGGCGGGAGTTTCGGAGGCGGTGACAGTGACGTAGAAGGCGGAGACCACTTGACCCCGACCAGGGAGGGTCTGCTGCAGGGGCGCAAGGCGTCCAGGAGTGACCTGGGGCTGTGGAGAGGGACCCGTGGCCTTGTGTTTCAGGTACGGAGGCTCCGGACTGGACGGGCGTCGCCCTGAGGGCGGGAAGTCACAGGCTTGTTCTCTGATGGGGCCCCGCCCGCCGCCGCACTAATCTCTTTGGCGTCGTACTCCTCGGCCCAGCTCGACCCGCCGCACCCCCGGCCCCGACCATGGACACTGGGAGGCCCCGGGGGCGCTGCGACCTCCTTCCAGGTGAAGTGAAACCCGAGGGCAGTCCCCCTTACCAACCCCATTAGAGACTTATCTGCCGAGCCAGGGGTCTAGGCTCCAGAAACAGGGGTGAGGACTAGGCAGAGGCCTGGGGTGACAGGCCTGGGTTCGAATTTCCCTTCTACCCCCAGGCTGGCTGTGTCACAAGCTTGGGCCAGGCTTTTTGCCCCTCTGAACCTCAGTTCCCCTGTCTGCAAAGTGGAGTTAATGGTGCTTACGGAGTTGTGGAGAGGATTAAGTGGAATAATGACGCAGGTAAAGCGCTTACGTAGCACAGATTCTAGCACAGAATAAGCATTTAACAGTTGACAGTTGTTGCTTTTCTAAGCTTGGATCTGTGTGATACAGTCGTTATTATCCAAGTCTGGATCTGTGTGATACGATCATAAGGACTGTGGAGGATTCAGATCCTTGACCGACCCCTCCTTGTTATCTTTTCCTTTTTGTCCCTCTGCATATATTCATATCTTTTTACTTAGCATCACCCACAGACGGATTTCTGCTGGGAGGGAGGGGACGATGAAGAGATGCCTAGGTCACATCCCTGCATTCTTCCAGTCAGTTGTTCATGACAGGCACTAGGAATACAAATACAGCCTGGCTGGGGAGACAGATATGTAAACAAATTTTATAGCCAATGCTACGAAGGCCAAGGGGCGTAGCCACCAACTCTGCCAAAGAGAAGTGATGTGAAAGCTTCATATTTGAGCTAGGTTGGGAAGGATGAATAAGTTTAACAGGTAGAAGGACAGATATGTGCAAAGATTCAGAAGTAATATAGGGAATAGGAGTGGGAGGAGAGAGCAGGAATGGGTAAATTGGGGCTAGTTTACCTAAGGTGTTGAGTACCCTTTGGAAAAGTCCCGGCAGCTGTCTAAGGAATAGACTGGGCCGGGCATGGTGGCTCAGGCCTGTAATCCCAGCACTTTGGGAGGCCGAGTCGGGCGGATCACCTGAGGTCAAGCGTTCGAGACCAGCCTGGCCAATATGGGGAAACCCCATCTCTACTAAAAATACAAAAATTAGCTGAGTGTGGTGGCGGGCACCTGTAATCCCAGCTACTCAGGAAGCTGAGGCAGGATAATTGCTTGAACCTGGGAGGTGGAAGTTGCAGTGAGCCGAGACTGCGCCACTGCACTCCAGCCTCGGCGACAGAGTGAGACTCCACCTCAAAAAAAAACAAAAACAAAGAATAGACTGGAGAGGGGCAGCTGGAGGTAGACAAACTAGTGGAGAGACTGTTAGATAGTGGCAGGGACCAGAAATTATGAGACCTGAACTAAACTAGTAACAGTGAGGCTGGGCGTGGTGGCTCACGCCTGTAATCCCAGGACTTTGGGAGGCCTAGGCTGGTTGGTCACTTGAGGCCAGGAGTTTGAGACCAGACTGGCCAACATGGGGAAACCCTGTCTCTACTAAAAATGCACAAATTAGCCAGGCATGGTGGTGCACGCCTGTAATCCCAGCTACTCAGGAGGCAGAGGCAGGAGAATCACCTGAACTGGGGAAGAGGAGGTTTCAGTGAGCCAAGATTGCGCCACTGCACTCCAGCCTGGGCAACAGAGCAAGACCGTGTCTCAAAATAATAAATAAACCAGTAACAGTGAGAATGGAGAAAAGATTTAGAGACTGTTTATAGAACAGTTAGGACTTTGGATCTGGAGAACTAAGAATGAGAAGTAATGGATGATGTGGTTTTTCTAGTTTGGAAGACCAGGTAGACCATAATGTCATCAATGGAATTAGGGACTAGTTAAACACAAAGTAACTGGGAAGTAAGGTAGGGTGTGTGTTCAGGGAGATTTGAATATTTCTAGCAATAAAGTGTATAGAAATTCAGAAGAGGAGGTGATGGCCCCTGCTGATATTCTCTGTCAGGAAGGTGGACAAGGGTAGCTCGGAGAGGCTGGAAAGCACACGGCCTAAGACTGCAGCTGAAATGTGAAGAACAGATCACTTCATTTTCCTATTTTCAGAGTTTCCCACCTAGGATGACTTCAGTGACTAGATCAGAGATCATAGATGGTAAGTACTATAGTGAAATTCAGTACCTCTTACCTTGGGTTCAGGCTTCTGAGCTATGCCCAAATCTTTCCTGGCTCCTGGTGGATTTGGAATCACATACTCATTTGCAGAGATGCTTTATTTATGTTTCCACGATCTAGGGGCATACATTGACTTTTTCCATTTTTTGCACAAATAGTTGTGGCGGGTTTGATTTTGTATTTTGACTTTTTTATAACAAATGCTAGAAAAAGGACCAGTGATGTCTAAGACTCATGATCATCAATTGGAATCAAGTCTCAGTCCTGTGGAAGTGTTTACTAAAACATCTGCCTCCCTGGAGATGCATCAAGGCGTTTCAGAGGAAAGAATTCACCTTGGCTCTAGCCCTAAAAAAGGGGAAAATTGTGATCTCAGCCACCAGGAAAGACTTCAGTCGAAGTCCCTTCATTTGTCCCCTCAAGAACAATCTGCCAGTTATCAAGACAGGAGGCAATCCTGGCGGCGATCAAGTATGAAAGAAACGAACCGGCGGAAGTCGCTGCATCCCATTCACCAGGGCATCACAGGTGGGGTGCTGTGTACACAAGGCAGTGAGGTTCCAGTTCAGATAAGAGACAGGTTCCAGCTCAGATAAGAGGCAGTGAGGTATGGCAGAAAGTGTAGGAGAATAGACATGACTTGCTACTTTATAAGTACTGATGTCGAACACCTAGTAAATGTTCAGTATTACTGCTATTTCTTTTTAAGAGACAGGATGTTGCTGTGCTGTCTAGGCTGGACTTGAACTTCTGGGCTCAAGCAGTCATCCCAGTTCCGCCTCCCAAGTAGCTGGGACTACAGGCGTGAGCCACTGCACCTGGTTTACTACTTATGTTATTAGCTGCCACAAATAAATTTCTAATTATTCAATATTCACCTGCTAGGATGAGAGACATTAAAGATTTCTTTCTGTGGTTTTCTATCTCATACCGTAAAGTGGAGCGGAAGATAGTTGGGTTGATACCTGGTTTTAGCCTTTATAACTGAAAATATCTCAGGGAAGATGCACATACAAATATCTAGAGTGGGCCATGCCTGTAATCCTAGCACTTTGGGAGGCAGGAGGATTGCTTGAGTCCAGGAGTTTGAGGACAACCTAGGCAAAATGGCAAGACCCCATCTGTACAAAAAGTTTTTTAAAAAATAGCAGGGCATGGTGGCACGTACCTGTAGTCCCAGCTACTGGAGAGAGGCTGAGGCAAGAGGATTACTTGGGCCCAGGAATTCAAGGCAGCAGTGAGCTATGATTGTGTCACTCAATCTATGCTGGGTGACAAAGTAAGACCCCTGTCTCTAAAAAATTTTGTCTCTTTTTCCCTACCCCCTCTCTCTTCCCTCCTCCCTTGCTGCACCCCCCACCCCGCCTCACTTTCTCTCTCTCTCTCTCTCTCTCTCTCTCTCTCTGTGTGTGTGTGTGTATCTAGAGTGAAAAACTTAGTTTTTAGGGATGCTATACAGAATGTGATTTGTGTCATTTTGTGTGAATTTACAATAGTAACTATATCTTAGTAAGCATCAAAGTACAGAATATAACGTGGAAAGGCTTGCATATTTCAGGAAGACTATACTAGCTCTGTGGTGTTGAGTAAATTACTTAACCTTCTTTGCCTTAAGGTCCTCATCAGCAGCTTAGAGGTGAAATAGTACCTATCTTATATAACACAGTATTTGGCAGATAGTAAGCCCTTAAATGTTAAGCTATTGTGATTAGTTTTAAGGTATCATCCCATTTCCAAGTGGTCTGATGCACAGAAGGAAATCTGGGTAAAGATAGCCACTTAGCACATCAGAAAATTGCTGCCACAAGGCCCATGTACTTTAGTCCTTAGATGTGCTGAGAAAACATCAGTGCATCCCAAGATTAGCCCTACCTTTAGCTCTATGCCAGAGCATTTAGACTTAAACAGAAAAGCACCAATGTAATAAGACTGGTTATTGCCTGGTTATTTCTGGCAACTTGCCAGGTTTCCTTGGTTATAGGCAGAAAGTATCCTGTTTTTCTTGACTAACAGCAGTGACAATTAAGAGACAAGAACTTTAAAAACACAACCAGCTGAACCTAGAGGGCAAAAAGACATGTAGCTCTCATAATTCACAAGGCAAAATTCCTTTGCTATGTAATAATTGTTTTCAAATGGACATAATTTTAAAAAACGGTATCTACATCTTGCAATTGGTTAGGGATTCAGTTGCATAATTATGTAAAATGCTCACCCAGTTCAGTCTGATAACTCACTGTATGACCTTGGGCAAGTTACCTTTCACTTTGTGCCTGTGTCATTATCTGTCATCTGAATGGAATTCATAGGATACTTGCCTCAAGGTTTAATGAAATATGTATGTAGCATTTCATAAAATCCTTTTTATATAGCAAGTGTTCAAAAAATGTTAGCTATTAATGCTATTATTAGGTCATTATAGAGAGGCAGTGTGGTAATAGTGGGAAAAACACAGATATTAGTGACAGACTTGGGTTTGAATTCTGGCTCCACCAATTTCCAGTTTCTGGCCTCAAACAAGTCATTTCCCCTCAGAGCTGCAGTTTTCCCATTTGTAAAATGGAACTTTATAATAGTACTCTTACAGTACAAAGTGTTTAAAGCACATTGCAGTGCCTGTCTTATAAAAATGCTCAAATGTGGCCAGGCACGGTGGCTCACACCTGTAATCCCAGCACTTTGGAAGGCCAAGGCGGGCAGATCACCTGAGGCCAGGAGTTCAAGACCAGCCTGGCCAACATGGGGAAGCCCTGTCTCTACTAAAAATATAAAAAATTGCCTGGGTTTGGTGGCGCATGCTTGTAGTCCCAGCTACTGCAACCTCTCGGCTCACTGCAGCCTCTGCCTCCTGGGCCCTTTTGATTCTTGTGCCTCAGCCTCTGGAGTAGCTAGGATTACAGGCGCATGCCACCACTCCTGGCTGATTTTTCTGTTGTTAGTAGAGACAGGATTTCACCATGTTGTCCAGGCTGGTCTCCAGCTCGTGGTCTCAAGTGATCCCATGCCTTGGCCCCAGAGTGTTAGGACTATAGGCGTGAGCCACCGTAGCCAGCCAATACAAAGATTCCTATAACTTTTTTTTTTTAAAGTTTGGATGCACAAATGGGTAAACTTCATTCCTCAGTGATCCTGCAAAAATTAGAATTCTGTCTTTAACTAAAGAAGGCTATTCTTGCCTTAAGTTGGATTTATCAAGAGGGAGGACACTTTTTAGTTTTGTTAGTTGCTAACTATCCATCTCCTTAAATGTGGCTATGTTTTATGTTAGAGCTCAGCCGGTCTATCAGTGTCGATTTAGCAGAAAGCAAACGGCTTGGCTGTCTCCTGCTTTCCAGTTTCCAGGTGAGGTTCTTGTAGCTGGGAAATGTTTTTGTGTTTGTTAACTGCTATTGTGACGATCTTTTTTTTTTTAAGATGGATTCTGATTCTGTCGCCTAGGCTGGAGTGCAGTGGTATGATCTTGACTCACTGCAACCTCCACCTCCCAGGTTCAAGTGATTCTCCTGCCTCAGCCTCCCGAGTAGCTGGGACTACAGGCACGTGCCACCATGCCCAGCTAATTTTTGTACTTTTAGTAGAGATGGGATTTCACTGTGTTGGCCAGAATGGTCTCGATCTCCTGACCTCCTGATCCGCCCGCCTCGGCCTCCTAAAGTGCTGGGATTTCAGGCATGAGCCACCGTATCCAGCCCTTAATTTTTTGTATTTTAGTAAAGATGAGGTTTCACCGTGTTGCCCAGGCTAGTCTTGAACACCTGAGCTCAGGCAGTCCACCCACCTCGGCCTCCCAAAGTGCTAGGATTACAGGTGTGAGCCACCGCGCCCAGACTTTTTTTAAGTTGTATTGTGTATTATGTGGCTACCAGGTACTTACATCAGTTTAGATAAGCAGGTAATTTGTATGAATTAAATAACCTTTTTTTTTTCCTAACGGAAAGTCAAAATCTATAGTCCAAGCAACAAAGGATTTTTTTGTTTGTTTGTTTTTTGTTTTTTTGAGATGGAGTCTCGCTCTATCAGCAGCCTGGAGTGCAGTGGCACAATCTTGGCTCACTGCAACCTCCGCCTCCCAGGTTCAAGAAGTTCTCCTGCCTCACCCTCCCGAGTAGCTGGGACTACAGGCATGCACCACCATGCCCAGCTAATTTTTTTTGTATTTTTAGTAGAGACGGGGTTTCACCATGTTGGCCAGGATGGTCTCCATCTCCTGACCTTATGATCCGCCTGCCTCAGCCTCCCAAAGTGCTAGGATTACAAAGAGGTTTTTTTTTTTTATTATTATTTTTTCTTATCTTTTTATTTGTTTCTGTGAAAAGTCTTATGTGTAAAAATTAAATCATATTTAGTATTTAGTTTCATATTTATTAAACATCATAAAGTGACATAAATTTAGGACTGGCCTGGAAATTTTTGGTGGTTGTACTAAAAATGCTTTTCTTTATTTAGTTCTCTATTCAGAAACTTGAACCTTTCCTAAGGGACACTAAGGGCTTCAGTCTTGAAAGTTTTAGAGCCAAAGGTAAGTTGCTAACAGATAAGTGAGCTTTGACCCTGGGCAGTCAAAGCTTTGCTCACAGCAGCCCCATTTACAGAAGCTGCTGCCTTATAAAACTAGCTCCCCC